CTGGCTTGGACAGGCTGTCAGAAAAAGTTTTGCATTTTCACTTTTAAGAGACTGAGAAAGCATCCTCCCCTTCCCAGGTGGAGACATAGCTTTCTGCAGCGACAAGGCAAAGACACGACTGTTTTTCTTGGGTCCTGACCTCCCCCTCTTTTCTTGTGTTAATTTACACTAAAAATCCTTTGAAATTAATACATCCTGGGTAAACACATTCATATCCTTTTACGTTTGCAAAACCTTCCAGTGAAAACCTAACTAAATTCCAGTTAGGTATTTGAATACCTAACACAGAGACCCATTTTCTTTGGGGAACATCGATCATTTCCAAGGTGAAAGGCAGCATAAATATGTCCTAAGTAAGAGACACATTCACAAAAGTATCAAGCTGGAGTAATAAACAGATTTGGGAGATGATTATTGTATTTTGGGAAATGAATTGCTCCGTGTCTGAACTGTGGGGAGGTCGAGGGTGTTTTTAATTTAATGGATTAATCATTTATGTCTGAAGTTCTTGCTCCTTCCTCTCAAAGCAATGCGGGAGGTTTGCACGAAGTTATAAATCATGTCAGTGTTTGGGGCCTCATCTCTGGGAGTCCTGGTCTATGGGGAAGAAGTTATACTAATGAGTTGAGAGAAGAAGTTGCCTGGAAGGATTCCCTTTAGCCAACCAGGTCAAGACAGTCACAGATGGAGAAGCCCCAGAAGATGGTGACCCAGCCTGTATATGGGTCCTGCGCCTGCCAGGAAATGGGGCAGCTCCAGGGAGAAGTCTCTGTTTTATTCCTGGCTTGGCAAGTTTCTCTGGGTTGTGACTTTCCTATCCATATAATGGGTTGGAAGCTCTCAGAGGGGCCACCAGCTCAGACCATCTGTCTGACAATTATAGTTAAATATAGCTTGAGACAACTCAAGATCTCCCCCGTATCTGTCCACCTTGGACTTTGAACTATGTCTGTGTCAGGCATTTCACACGCATTGCATCTCATCAGGCCTATAATGCAGGAGGTACAATTGCTATTCCTATTGTACAGATGAGTTTAAATGCCCAAGACTGTATGTCAAGGAAGTACCAGGACTTGAGCCCATGTCTATCCGGCTCAGAGTTTATGACTTGATCCTTTGTCGGGGGTGATGCCAGCTTGGGTCTGCCCTGTGCCTAGGGTGGAACAGCCCCAGACCAGCTCCTGTTCCCAGGAGTGGTATCTCTGTCTCTTGGGCCCACGGGCCACACATTAACTCTCCAGCACATCTGCTATTAACTTGGAGTCTTCTGAGCCCTCAGAGAAGAAGGCAACTGACCAGGGGACCCTCTCCTCCCTTCATCATTCTCCCTTTCCTGTCTTCCCTCCGAGGAGAAGCCAGCTGGAGGAACGGGCATAGAACATTGCTCCCTGTCTGTGTGTCCCAGGCACTGCCTCAGCTCAGGAGGCCACAGGCCATCTGCCAGGCCAAGAGGGGCCCAAACCACACCTCCAACAGCGCTGCTAGCAACTGCACGCCGTTCCCCCTGAGCAGCTCGGGGCCATCTTCCTCGTGCTTTAGACTCATGCTTGGGATGCATAGCGAAAAGGAAAAATCCCCCAGATGAGTTTGTTACTGCCTTCTCATTTCTTCTTCAAGTGATTCCATAGCAAGGAAGCGTTCCTTCTGTCCTGAGCACCAACAGTACCTTCTCAGCTCTCCCTGGTCCTCCTGCCTGAAGGCTCTGGGCACCAAGCTGCAGCCTGCAGAGCTCCCCGTTGCCCACCACCCCTATGAGCCTTCCACAGCAGCCCAGCCCTGCTGGGCCTGCCTCCTGGGAACTCGAGCAGCATCGGGAGTCTACACAGTGATTGCTGAGCCCCAGCTGGAGCTGGTTGACTGAGCCATGCAGTTCACCGGCTTCCATCCTGCTAAGGCAGGGGCCGAGGCTTACATTCACTGCTGTGGGTCCTTCATTGGATCCTCACTAGGCCGGCTGTTTCTGACCAGGCCTGAGCTCAGCACCAGGGCAGAGATAAATGAGGCAGGGTTCTTGTCCCCTGTGCCCCATAGTGTGCAGCCCACAGCAGCTCAATGCTGACCTGCCTACTGACCGCACCCGTGTCCCACATCTGGATTCTCCAACAGCCACAACACAATGCCCTGGCGGGAAGGGGCAGGCAGGGCAGGCAGGGCAGGCATCCAGAGTCTGGGCTTTGGAGTCGAGATCTGTTCTGCAGTTAACAACTGTAGGGCTGGGGCTCCTGGGCAAATGACTCCATGTCTCTGAGCCCCAGTTCCCTCATCTGTGAAACAGGGACGGGGCATGGTATGTATGCAGTAAATGTCACTAGCATGACTGTGTCTTTCATACCATTCTATTTTCAACATCTTCCCATCTTCCCACACAGGTATGACTTTTTTCCCTCTCAGTCCAACACAGCAAGCCTAACTTCTGGAACACTTTGAAACCCTTGCGTCTTGTCCCAGGTCAGCAGTCAATGGACTTGTGTCCTTGGGAAGAAACACCAGGCCTACTTTAGTGTGGTGCTCCCATAAGGGAGCTGGTTAATGGACCCAAATGCCATCCCAAGTGCCTGGGAGTCAGCCCAACCTAGTGACCTATGGGCTTCTGGAGCTGGGCGCCCCGAATGGCCTAGTCCAGCTATGTGTGAGCCGAGCACAGTGAACTGACTTCATGAGGCAGAAAGCCCACCACAAAACACAGCGGTCCCAGCGTGCTTCCTCCGACTCTACTGATCGTACTTTGGCTGGAAGAGAACTCTTAAATCTCTCAGCAGTTGGAAAAAGGATCTTAAGTGGCCTCTCTTTGGATCTTAGCGGGAAGGTTTTGCTCCATTTAGACTCCCCCAGGTCCACGAGCAGCCTCTTCAGCTGAGACTAAGCAGTTGCTGGGCTGGGGGGTGGGAAGTGGAGAGGCGGGAGGTAGGGGTGGCTGGGGAGGGCCAAGTCGGAATTCTCCACTGCCATCTGCACAGTCTACTTGCCACGTGGTGGGAGGAGCCTCTACTTTGAGCCCAGCAGCACCTCAGGGGGTTGTGGGCATGGGCCTTGCTCCTGAATTCAGCACTGGGAGTGAGGAACCAGCTCATCCACATCAGGAGCCCAGTCTCAGAATTCTGGGGTGACAGGGTGCAGAAGGGCCCTCCGAGCACCAGAGACTTACCACTTACTGTATTAGGGCATTTAAGACCAGCATCTCCTCCAGAAGCCGAGGGGGAGTACACGCGCTCACCTGTGAGTTACTTGGGTTCCTCGGCAGGTGGCAGACCCTCCCCTCCTCACAGATTTGCTTTGGAGAAAATAAAGGGGACAAGGCTCCAGGCCTCTCCTTGTGTTCCTGGTCCTTGTGAAGCGGTAGGGGCAGGATGCGAAAGGCAGGATTGTGGATCTGGGAATATTGGTGGATTTCTATTTTCCAGGCTTGTCTGAGGACCCGAGGGACCAGGAGCAAACCATGTGGAGTTGTTTGGCAACCAAAGATTCACAACATTGTACGGTGCTGGGCACCACTTGCCAGTTGTAGACGGTACAGCCCTGCTCACAGTGCACAGTGCATGCGCTGCCCCTGGAGCAGCCCCTGCTCAGGGAGAGGCAGACACTGCCTGCCGGCTGCACATTAGATCAGCCTCTGAATTCCAGCCTCTGAACCCCAGCTCGGGGATTGGCTGTTGGCTCACCCAGGGGGCATTATAACTGGGAACCCCTGATTATTTCTGGCGAAATGCAGAGATTGCATTGTAGGCCTGGAATCAAGCTAACAGGCACAGCCATGAAGCCCCAAAGGATTAAGTACATCCCAGCTCAAGGGAAATACTAATAACATATGGTTTAGGCATGTATGAATATAAAAATCCCCAAAACATCCCACAGGGTAAATGCAGAGGCAAGCTGAGCTCACCCAGTTGTCCTTAAATGGCTTGTCACCTGAATCCCAGAAGTAAGCGAAATTGAACCTCATGATGCAAACATTCTTGACACTTGCTCACTTTATCTCAGAGCAGAAGCCCTGAACACCAGCTGGCACCAAGGATCTGGAGCTGACTTGGAGCTTCCACACTGTTCCCTGACGCACAGACACCCTGCTCAGGCCTGCTTCGTGATAGGAGGGATGCCCAGCGGGGCCTAGACGGACGAGTGTAATTTCCCACGGTGCTGATCCACCCTGGCACTGTGAAGGCTTGTTTGTTCTGATGGCTGGAGTGGCCAGGCTGGGGCAGCCAGCAGTGTGACACAGGTCAGAGCACACTCCCTGGGTCTAGAACACTACCACCTACCAGTGGGAGACCCCAGGCAAGTGACCTTATCTGGAGATTCATCCCTAAAGCGGGTTAAAATGGTAAAGTCCATGTGACATGTTAACACAGGGACTGGCCACAGTGAGCGCTCAGAAAACACTGGCTATTGTAATTGTTGATGTTATCATCAGGAGGGGTTAACTCTTGCCGGTTTCCAGGACTCCTGGTAACACAGGGACCTGTGAGAAGCAAAGAAAACCTGCCACACCTGCTCAGATTCTGTCTTGGCTTGGCCCAAGCTGAGGCTGGGGGAGCCTCTTGGGGAGGGAGAAGGAAACCAGCCCCTGTTGGAGGAAGTAATGCCTCCCAACTGGACAAGTGATGTGAGTCCGCACTGCCTGGAAGAGGAGTGGGGTGGTTAGACCGTGTCTGCTTCTCACTGGATCCAAGCCCACAGCAGCTCACCATGGCCATGTCACCCCTAGGGCACACCCCACATTCTAGGGGCTGCCAGAGCCTCAGCTGCGGAGCATGACTTGCCCAAATGACTCACCTCCCCTGCACCGGGATTCATTTCATGAGAGGAGGCTTTGGGTGAAGCTGGACATGGAAATTAGTGGGAAGGCTTTGCCCTTTCCCCTCTGCTCCCCTTTACTTATGAGACAGATGGGTTCAGATATTTCTTTAAGAAGACAGAATTTGGGGGTGGAGGTGGAAGTGCTGTTCTGAGCAGCGTTTTGGGAAGGCTTTGAGGGGGTGACATGCATGGAGCCATTTACTAACCATTCACCTGAAGGACGTGGGTCTGGAACAGCTCCTCGTGGCCGGAGGCGTGGCAGGTGTAATTGCCCATGTGGATGGTGGTCACCTTGGTGATGTAGAGGGAGTCGTCCTCTCCGAAGTCCTGCACGGGGCAAGGAAGACAACGAGATTGGTGCCTCTCTTGAGCATGCTGGGAAGAGTAGCCGGTCTCCTGGTTTTCCAGGGCAACAGAAACCCTGCAGCTGTGAGAGATTTCCATTCTGCCTGCCCCCTTGCTCAGCCAGAGCTGCCTGCAGGGCTGTGCTGGCCCAGGCAGCAGGAGCTCCATCTCTCTTCCATGTTGCTTGCCTGGACCCTGTATGTCCATTTAAGGCCTTGTTCACCTTCTCTGTGAGGCCCGGCTTGAACACTTCCCCAACACACTCTCTTTCAATTTCTACAACTGGGTAGTCTCGCTGCCTGCTAACCTGCTCGCCCGCTTGCTGGTTTCCTGGGCTCTGGTCCACCTGCTGAGAAGCTCTGGAGGGCCGGCCTCCTTTAGAGTCAAACTTTTCTTAAAAGGCCAGATAGCAAATATTTTCAGCTTTGTGGGCCATAAGGTTTCTGTCAACTCCTCAACTCTGCCTTGTAGCATGAAAAAAGCCATAACAATGCATAAATTAATGAGTATCACTGTTACAATGAAATTTTATTAAAAATAATAGATGGTGGGCAGATTTGGGGCAAGGGCTGTAGTTTGCCTGCCACTGGTTTAGACCCACCGCCATCCCAAAATAATTTAAGGAAGCTTGCAGAGATCTGGATAACCCCGGAGAAGGGAACTAGAAGTCTGAGAAAGAAGGGCAAACAAAAAACAAGGGCAGGGACGTAAAAGCCATGAGGGGCTGACGCCAGCCATTTCTGGGAGAAACGGCTCAGTAAGCCTTGTCCTGTGAGCTCTGCAGCCTCAGGTGTGGGCTCCTATGGGTCCACTGCTAGGGCAGGGATGGGCAGGAGTGGGGTTGACTGGTCAGAGTCGCTGGTGAGCGCTCGGGCACAATCCCACCCCCACCCAGGGCCTTTCCAGTCAGCTGTGTTCTCTCCAGCAGAACGCGCACAATGGCCCCATCCAGGCACCAACTGCAGACGTGCTGGGGGATGGAATCAGCAGTGCTTCAGGGAGACCCCTCGTCAGGTTCGGCCTTAGTTACCAACATCTCCGCGGTGTGGTGCTTGGAGCTGACAGGACCGAGGAGGTCCCGGCTCACTGGGGAGGAACAGGTGGCGCAGTGCCGGCTCGAGGAGTGACGGGGAAGCCCAGCACTGAGACTCAGGTTCTAGCTTGAGCTCTGTCACTGTCCAATATCCCCTTGTCCCTCTGGGCACTGGTTTCTCCACCTGTAAGTTGTGGACATGTGCCCTGACTGCTTTATGAGGTCTTGGGGAGATCTGGCAAGACAGTGCTTGTGAATATTTTCCAATGTGGTAAGTGTGACATACACGGGGAATACTACTTTTCTTGTTATTTAACAGAAGATGCAAAACACCTCTTGAGCCCCTGGAGATGACAGCAAACCATCCCTCCTGCCATTCCCCCCGTCCGTGTGAGTCTCCTCTTTCCACAGCAGCCTGGTGGCAGGAGGGAGGGAAGGCCACCACTCTGTACAAGGGTTGTTCAAGGACAGTCACAGGGCAGCTCCTTGTCCTTGTCATTCCTGCTCCCAGAAGTGCTCACCCTCTGTCTCGCTCACATTCCGGAGGGCTCGGCCACAACCATTGTGAGTCCTTTGAAGATGCTTTCTGGCTAATTTACCCAATGAGGGGGTGCAGGCCCAGAGGGAGGCTTGGGCTGGGGTGCAGGCTGGAAGGTGGAGAGGGTACGTGTGCAGCCTGCTTTCAGTATCAGGGAAAAAACACCCAACAGTGCACTCCCTGTGGAGTAAAATATTGGAGGGAGCTGCTGGCACTCTGCACGTTTTCTCTGACATTGCTCTGGCTAAGACAGCCCCATTCCTATCACTCTGTGGAAGCTTCAATAATAAAAATAAAACAGCAGATAGCTGATTTGTCCTGGGTCATAACAGAGTCATACAGGGTTCATACCTAAGTTGGTTCTGAAAAGGTAATGGTTAGTCAATTCTGGGGCTGACACATTTCTAGTCTAAGCTTTTTTCTGTGTCAAAACCTAAGTCTGGAGGAAAATATGTTTTGCTTGGAGTCTCAGTGGCTGAATGGAATCTTAAGAAGGCTGGGAAGCCCAGCACAGTCCCCACCTGGAGAGCCCCTCAATACCTCACTGGGTTGGTTCCAGGGCAGACTCCATCCCAAAGGGCAACGCCAGAGCTGCTCACAGGGAGGCTGGTGCTGGGGACCCCCTGGTGCTGATCTCCCCTCATTACCTTCCCGAGCCTTCATAGCCCTCTGCCCTTCCTCATGGGAGGGCCCCTGAAGTCGGTCTTGGGTTCTGGCTCCCCATGTTCTTGTTACACCTCGATGGGGTAGTGTGGTCACAGGTACCACAGCCTTCCTCAGGCTGAGAAATGCCCCAAGGCTGGGGTTCCTGTGGACCAACTGCAGAGTGATGCCCCAGTAATAACAGCAGAGCAGAGCATTCAAGAGCTAACTGTGTGCTGGGAAACTGGACATATAGTGCCTTGTTTAATCCTCAGAAAAAAACCCCTGAAAACCATAAAACCAAGCAAAAGCCCAGTCCGCATGGAGTGAGAAAGTAGATCCTTCCTTCATGATATATTCAGAGTCTGATCTTCTCTTATCCCCTCCACTGCCACCACCTTGGGCCAAGAGGAACCACCTTCTGGTCTGGGGGCTGACAGCAACCTCTGCCTCTGCCCCTTTGCAGTCTGCCCTCTATACGGCAGCCAGAGGACACCCCTCCTCGCTCAGAGGCCCAGCCCTCGAGGGTTTGCAGGGGTGATCTGCACGTCTCCTCCCTCACCCCATCTCCCTGGCTCATTGCACTCCAGCACTGTGGTCCCTTGCTGTCACTCTACATGCCAGGCATCCTGCCCACTCAGGAATTTTTGATTTGCTGCCCCTTCCTCTCCAAAAGCTATTGGTCTGGTTTGTTCCTCCTCCTTCAAGTCTGCTCAGATGTTACCTGCCAGCCCAACTCCCATCCCCCCCACCCCCCACCACCTGCTTATTCCTCCTCTTGGCACATGCCACCATTGAGCGTACTGTTTGCTGTCTGTCTCCTCCCAGGAGAATATGAGCTCCTGGGGGAGGGGCGGGACTCTTGTGCACAGTGCTCACTGCTGTGCCCCGGCGCCTAGCACAGGGTTTAGCACACACGGGCCCTCAGTAGATATTGGCTGAGTGCACTGTACAGGGTGCTGAGCTGGGCTTTCTGTAGGAACTGTGTTCCGTTCTGGTTCTTTGGGTTTGACAACTCAGGCCACACCTCCTGCCTTCCCAAATATTACCAGTCACACGGAGTCAAAACGAGGTGGCTGGCGGGAAGGCAGAGAACTGGTCTCGAGTCTCGTCCCTGCTTCCCCACCCTGTCTCCTTCTCCAGGCTGTGTTCCTCAGGCCAGGGCATGCCGGGATTGACCAAGGAGAAGGCTCACCTCAGAGCAGCAGGCAGAGATGGAAGAGCCCACGCGTGTAACCCCAGACCTGACGGGTGACTTTGGGTGAGCCCCTAACTTAGGGTGAGCCCTTCCCTAGAGGAAGTCATTTAACCTCTCTGTCCACTTTTCCTCGCTGCTTCTAGGGCAGACGCATAACTCTTGAGTGATCCCTCTGGTGCCGAGGGGTGTGCGCCAGCTCTTCAAGGACACGCAAGGCCACTGGATGCGTTATGGCACCTCTGTGAGCACCTAACTCATCACCAGCCTGTGACTTAGGCTCTGGGGAGAACCTGACTCTGCGATAAATAAAATAATGTCTCTGGGCTAAAACAATAGGCGTCATGTAATTATAGAACAAGGTGCATATTGTTTTCTGGAACATGAATACTGGCTACAGAAATCAAATTTACCTCACTGGATGTGAGGAAATTACTTTAAAAATTGATTTAAAAGAAGCTACATAAAACTAAACCTGCAATCCTTCTTCTCCTGAACGTTCTTTGAGATGTGTCTGAATACTGCTATCAATGCTTGATTGCATCTCTGTAATTGTCTTTTTATGGATGGCTTTTTTTTTTTTTTTGCTCTGATGCATTGAAATGTATTAGCAAAATCAAGGTTCCTTCCAGAAATAAACAGATGCCAGATTAGACCATTCTTTGGGAAAGAGACATTTTTACTTAAAGACATGGTTTTCGCCTTTTAAAAAGCTATTTTCTAAGGATCTGCCCTTAATAAAGAAAGTAATTGAATGAGACTTAAGTATTAAACCATATTTAAGCAGAGGTGAGCCGGGGGATGGCGTCACAGTGATACATGCGAGGCAGGTCTAAGTGATAAGAAAATGAGCCATGGATGCTGAATGTTTAGTGACTGAACCTTAAACACAAGGACTCCAGAGTGATTTCAGAGTTCAGGTGAATGATACTGTCAATGCTACAAGTTAAAACTCAGAGCTTTTCCAACTCTGCCCTTCTCAGGAGCACTTGCAGCTCTGTGTGGGGAGGACGGAGTAAAGGAGGGCGTCTTCACCTCCATGCTGGTTCAGTTCTGGCCCCTAGGATTTCACTAGCCCTAGCATCCCACCTGCACAAGCATTTGAACACAATGGACCCAAACACTGAGCGACATGCAGGACCATGGCGATGGCCAGTCCTCAGAGGTGCCTGCATTCACCGAAGAACACATGCCCGTTACCCAGACCAAGCAAGGACCAGATGCATCACTGGTGGGCACACACAAACATCCACGTGGGCACACACAGAAAACATGAGCATGCATGCGCGCACACACGTTCCAACTCACTGAGTCTCTACAGCTGACCACCCTGACCCACACTGGGGTTCCTGTGCTGGTCACTCCTTCCAGCCCTTCAGAGGACAGACTTAGCACTCTGCAAGGACCCCTAGAACTAGTCCTCTTGCTCAGAGTCCTCTTAAAAAAGAAGTGCCTGCAACTTGAAGCAATTCCTAAGTAGCCACTGAGCCCCCAGGGGAGGCTGCTCTGGACAGTCACATTTGGCACAGGCCACCCAGAGTGGGTCTTTGCTCGCGCCCATTCCCAGGCCCAGG